CCAAGACAGCAATAGGATACACAAGCGGTGTAAGCTTCAACTGTCAAGAATCGCTGGCTCTTGTCAAAGGCCTTTAATTAACACTTCACTTTATAAACTTTTATGCTTTATCAGCAGTGGCTCTTACAAAAAAGAGGCAAACGTCTGGCATTCTAGGTCATTTATCAAGGCCATTTTAAATTATTTTATGGATCTTAATTCTTTAAGTATGTCACCAATGAGCCGTTGATAATTTATTTACTAACTTTTTAAAAACGCAATATCTATTGTGTCCCTTTCACTGACTGGTTGAAATGAGTTTTAAAAAAATGATTTCAGCTTTCAAAACATGTTATTTACATTAGTTCACTCCTGACATCACATAAACTAAACAAATCGTAGGCACTTCAATCCCCATAGATAAGCTTGACATTTTGGCAAACGTTACAATTTTAAAGACATCCCTTACTTTCTATGTAAATAGACAAGATATACCCAGACACATTTCTCAAAATATATTTCCACTCTGAACATTAACCATTCACCTGCAAAATAGGCAGTAGTGAGTGGCTTAATGGAGGTGGCTGCTGAATATGCAATTAGGATGTGCATCAAAAACCCCTTCAATGTCAAGCTACCATTTCATTCTAGCCTTCTATATGCAAACAAGCACAAGGCTTTTGAGTAACAATTCACAAAATGAAAACATGCTGTTGACCTTCATGATTAGAGTACCTTGTTCCAATCTAGTTAACAGCCAGGCTTAAACAAACATTCGAATCCCCATTCTGCTGTCAGTGCAGACAACCTCTTTACACTCTGCCAACCTTAAGTGTTATCAGATGTAAACTGCGTGTGGAGTTGCAGTAATATGCACTTGTTCACTCATGACTGCTGTTGAGCAGGGATTGAAAAAAAATGTAGTTGAATAAAAGTCACAATTTAAAAACAAAAAGCTGTGCTGCAATAGTCAGAAAAATGAAACCAAATCCTGCTTAAAAAAAGCTAAAGCAAAATTTTGTTCTATAAACCACAGATTGCAACCACTGTGTCAGAAAAATTAAACACACAAGTCACCTACAGCACCCTCCAGCAATTCAATTGAACCTAATGAGAAAAGGGAGATTAAAATCTCTAGTATCAGGACCAGCAATTACTCGGGCACTTTTGAGAACCCAGGGGAACCGTCCCAAGGACCAGAGAGATGAAAATCTAATAAAGTGAACAGACCCAAAGATACAAGAGATATGACCTACTCTGTAATTAAAAAAATTAAATGGGTCTTAAAAATACCTGCACATAAATTGAGATATCAGCGTTGGACCAGTAGAAAAAAATACCAGGAGTTCAATATGTGAACAATGCAGCACAGACGAATAACAGCGTAAGCTTTCACCAGACACCAATTTAGGTTAGGTTTTTTTTGTGGGTGGAGGGGGGGGAAGAGAACCTTCATTACATCTGACAGATGTTAAATCATAACCTTGATGAACTTGAGAGACATTCGTTGTCTTTTTGCATTTCTTCCCATTTCTCTCTTTTTTTTACAAGAAATATTGGTATTGGTCACTGAAGAAGGCCTAACCATTACAACGTTTTTTCTGATCAAATAAAAATAAAATTGTGTATCAAGAGCTAGGATTAAACTTTGATTACTTATTTGCTCTTCAATCCCACATTCAGATCAATAATTTACATGATCTTCTGCCAATATCCACAACAGTTTTACACGGGTTGTATTTTTATTTTGCAGAAGGCAAACAATAAGGGTCAGTCCAGTCCACTCGCCGCTTAAAAACTGAATTTGAAGCAGACTTCATAAAGTTATCCATCAAGGGATTGCACTCCAAAATGTTTCAGCAGTTTGCCTTCTTCAACCATGAGTTGAAAAACACAGGAAGACTATTGTACACAGAATTATGCTCTCACATAAAAAGTCTGGTATCATTATGCAGCAAAGGCTTGGTTGGACCTTGAGTTAAAGTTATAAGAGGGAGATATTAATGCCCCTATCACTGCTGGAGGTCAAAGGAGTCCTCTCAGGTTGGCAAAGACACAGGTGTTAAGAGTGGGGGGTGGTAGGGGGGAAAGAAAGACGAGAAGAGAGATGGAAACACACACAGTAAGATGAAGAGGAAGTGCTAAAAAAAGGTCCACAGCACTATGTCAATTGATTTAGCAGTGGTGAATCTTCTTTGGCTATTTGCCATGAACCATGTTTAATCTTGCACCTAAGCAATCCCTTCTTTAGACACAGGAAGCTTTATCTCCTGAATCATCCTAGTAAAAGACCAGCGAGCCAACAAGCACAACTGATGACAAAAGGCAGCAGGCACAGTCAATGACAGATTCTACAAACACGGTGAAAGAAATGTGCCCGTCAATTAGGATGATAGTCTTGATGTACTTGGGGAGATATTCATTGTCTTCTTGTATTTCTGCCCATTTGTTTTTTTTTAGGAAAGACCTGTTTCAGGGCTGCAAGGGGAAATACCACGGAAAAATATTTTCCCATAACCATATCCAGATAAATTATACATGTAATCTTATCTAAGCACATTATGATAAGTGAAATCTTATATTGTTCTACATTTGTGGAAAAGAAAAATACTGAATAAACCACTACTGCCAATGTACAACTATGAACTGGTTGCTTAGATAATGACAAATGTTAAGCAACACTAAAAAGGGAATTTGATAAACACAATGGGTAATGTTTTATTCAGGTTGATACGTTGGACTTGAATCAAGATCACTGCATGATATAAATCTGCCTCCTCTCACCATCACCACTGAACAAACATGTGTGACCCATTAATTTACTCATTTACGCTTAGCAAAATCTAGCCCTGTATGTACGAGGTTGGGCAAAAAGAAGAAGCATCTGAATTTGGTAACATGAAAAAATTACAATATGTAGAGCCATGAAATGCTTTCTGTAAATCGAATCCAGGTATCTTCTCTCACCAATTTATAAGATTCAACCATTAGAACTTGTTCTCCTTCACTAAGTGCAGGGGGAAAAAAAGTTGCTATTATATACAGAAAGCTGCATTTATATCTGAGGCAAGGTTAAACTTCGAGCTTCGGTATTATCTCAATTTGTCAATGTGTTACTGCCTGGTAACAGACTATCACATTGTTACTACAAATGTAGCAAGCAAGAAAACTTTTCAAGGCTTAAATGATGCATTTAAATGCTACATTGGCAAAATAAGCAAGGAACATTCAAAATATTTCCCTACTGAAAATATAGTGTCCCTCTCTCACCAGACTCAAGGGGAAATAAACAATATATGCAACTGCCAATTATAATCAATATCCATCCATTCCGTTAAACAAAAAGCGCCTGTTTTCTTCAAGGGGGTAACTATGGGAAAGTGAACTTTTCCTTTCTCATGATTTGGTATTACACTATGAATGAAAAGAACTGAAGCCTGAATAAAAGCATTTACTAGCAACTCTACAACCCTGCAGGTGGTATTCACAAAGAGCAAGCACTGTGCCAATGCAGGAGACAAACCATGAGAAGGATGAAGCTTGCCCTGGAGATATTTTAACAGTTATGCATTTTCTGACAATGGCATTACATTATTTTTCATTTTTTTAGAAAAATAACATTCACTTTTGAGAGTAAACCATAAAGGATGAATAATCTGAGCCTACTAGAATCCAACAGAGCCTAGTTTTCCCCCTAGAGAGAATTCTTGTCAAATGTAATGAGAGCTGCATAGGTCCGCTCTACAACATAATGAGCACTTAGGCCACACTGGTGATCAGTCAGCAAATGCATCAATTTCAGCCAAGTCACACCCTTCCAAACATGATTTTTTTTAGAATTATGATCAGACCTTCAGGATCAGGCCATAGAGCAACATATAGTAGCTCAAATTGTGGAGCAACAAATTCATCCATTGAATGCACATTTCCATTTACAATTGTGCTGTAATACACAACTCCAATCTCCAGAGGAAACAATTCAGTAATTTAAATATACAGAATACACTTGCGTGTTGAAAGCTACAACACAGAATGTTACATTGTAATGCAGCTAGAACAAAAAAAATGATTTCCAAAATAAGACCAAAAGATAAATGTGAAACTTTTTGAAAAAATCCAAGTTTGTAACAGCACAAAGAACATTAGATTGTTTTGAGATTAAATCAAATTATTAGACTTGCTCACACACCAAATACTAAGCCTCAAGGTGTTAGATCCCATCAAAAAACACCCAAATTAAAAAGGGTTCAATACGTCAAGTGATGTTTATATTCCTTCACATATGTGATGCATCTGCTATGCTAGTTCATTTAACAATAGTTTTAAAGCAGTAAATCAATATCGTAAAGACCAGTCGGTCTTACGGATTCAAAATCCCCAAGTCACCACGTCTCCTGTGTTACTCCTGGTATTAATGCTTTCTTTGGCAAACAAGCATTCACAATTGAAGTGCCATTTCATTGAGCAATCACTGAGCTTTTCTTCCCATGTACTTACTGTCTTGACTAACCCACCTTTTGTCTTCCCATTATTTTAAAAGCTTACAGAAATTGCACAACCATGTCTTTGTGTCTCCAATCAAAGTGCCTACTGTATATAGCATCTCGCATACAAAGACCGATTCAAGCATCATGTGAAAATACATGCCTACAGAACCAGACTGTAACTAGCACCCTAAAATACAAAAGCCCCTGTTTTAAAGAAAACAATGTCCACATTAGAAAATAACCAGAAGGCATTTGTTCTTAGGCTATAGTTATATTTTGAGTCTATTAAGGAAGTACCAGCTAATAAGCTAATAATACATAAACAATAATTTAATGTATATTCCACCAAGATTCCCCAATTGTGACAATAATATGTATAATACACAAATGTAATTTCTACTCCTCATTTCCATAACAAAACTTGAAATTTAGGACTTTAAAAAATTGAGATGCGCTAAACTGTGCTTTGTGGAAACTAAGACCCAATTATCCACACAGATGCTTTATAAGATGGATTTGATGATGCAATCTTACCTGTTTGTGCATTTCAATATTCAATCCATAAGACATTTCATAATACTGTGGAGAAGAAAGAGAAGGCAATTAGGCGCAAAAAGATTTAAACTGAGAATCCGAACAAGGACACATATGCTATGTTAAATATGAAGCCTCCAAACTATAATGCTGTTCTTTGCAATTCGAGTTGAGATGGATTGCTTGCTAAAAGCAAATTGTGGTTTATTTTACATTTTTGACAACTGGCCAGAACTTGTTTAACCCACCATGACATAGTGTCGCTGCATTTCTGTCTTTTCGCTTGCCAGTTTCTCACATTCCAACTTGAGGCTGAAAACACAAGAAAAGTACAGCATTACTCTCACACACACACACACACACAAAAAAAATGAGTGCGAGAATTGGAAAGGACCGCACGCACGAATTTCTAAAACAATCAAAAGGAAATCTTTGAATGCTGTGGGATTCCAAAAAAAATAAGTCATGGCAAAATAAAAACAATTCAAGTGAAAGACATAATCGGTTAAAGATGTGTTCCGGATTGCATTTCGCGTACAACTATTAAATCAGGTTCTACAGCGCAAATGTACTGTTGAGTTTTCATGAACTAAAAAAAAAAACACTTTGCACTGACTGATACAGTACCGGGAAACGGTTATACTGTATATTAACTGCAACTCTCTTGTTTTTAATTGGCGCCAAACACAAGTTGGGACACTCCAGAGGAAGCTGTCGGTGCGCTCTCAATGCAAATAGAGTGAGTGAAGGTTTATTTGGAGGATCTTGAAAAGAGCCCAAAGGCTTCTCGCAACCAGAGCGCCCCTGTGTGGTTGGGGGAGGGCACCACCACCTGCCTGTCCTGCCCTGCCCTGCCCTGCCCGCCTGCCCTGCCCACCTACCGCAGACAAACCAACAACACTGGTGACTGGGGCTGCACCGGCACAAAATAAACACCTTCCCCGAGCAGACAGACAGACAGACAGAGAGACAGACAGACAGACGGGCGGCTTTGCTTCACCTGTGGTACTGCGCCTGCAGGAACTGGAACTCCTCTTTAATCCGGTCCAGCGACTCGGGGATGGTGAACTTGAAGGGCTGCGCTGCTGCCTGGTGCGGCGTCTGGAGAAACCGGGGGGTGGGGGGGGGGGGGAGGGGTGAAAAAACACCCAAATTAAATGCAACCACAGACCCCGAGCGATCGCCCCCGTCCCCCCGACACCGCTATTCCAGAGATAAAACACCGAAAAACAATTGCACATGAGACGGGAAGACGGCGGCGCGCGGACGGACTGACGGCAAAGGTCACCCGCACCGCACCCGCACCGCACCGCCCCCGCGCGGGAGCCGCTGACCACTGGGACCTTCCGGGGGTCCCGCGGAGGGACCGGAGGACGGACACCGGGACATTTTCTCTCAACTTTCGGAGACTTTCGGCCGATACCGTTTGAAGCAAAAGTTAAACCGCTCCCCCCCCCCCCCCCTCACACAGACCCCCCCCCACACACACACACACACACACACACACAGACCCCCCCCACACACACACAGACCCCCCCCACACACACACACACAGACCCCCCCACACACACACAGACCCCCCCACACACACACACAGACCCCCCCACACACACACACAGACCCCCCCCCACACACACACACACACAGACCCCCCCCCCCCACACACACACACAGACCCCCCCACACACACACACACGCACAGACCCCCCCCACACACACTAACACACACCGACCCCCCCACACACACACACACCGACCCCCCACACACCCCCCCCACCCCCACACAGACCCCCCCCCACACACACACACAGACCCCCCCACACACACACAGACCCCCCACACACACACACAGACCCCCCCCCACACACACACACACACACCCCCCACACACACAGACCCCCCCCCACACACACACACACACAGACCCCCACACACACACAAAAAAAAACGTGCGCTCGAGTGGAAATACAACTGTGTGGAGAGGTCGACTCGAACTCGGGTCCTCAAACTCGGGATTATAGCTATGTTTTACATAAAAAGAGAGAGAGAGAGATGCTGCCTCGTCTCTGCTGTTTTGGTACATATTTTTTGGGGGGAGAGAGGGAGGAATTTAAAAAAGCAAAAGAAATTCACACTTTTAACCCCTTCCCCTTCTCTCTCCCCCTCTCCCTCTCTCTCTCTCCCTCTTTCTCTCTCTCCCTCTCCCTCTTTCTCTCTCTCCCTCTCCCTCTTTCTCTCTCTCTCTCTCTCCCCCTCCCCGAATGCCACCCCCCCATAAAGTCCCAAGACACAAAGAGAGGGCGATGGTTTTCCTCGCCTTTACTTACGGGATGTCTGCTCTGGGGAAACATCGCTCGCTCCGGGACCGCTCGCTCGGCTCCGCTGCTCAATGCTCGCTGGATTTCCTTGAAGAAACGCACATTAAGTAAAAAAAAAGCCCTTTCCAATGCACACACCTCCCTCTCCCTCTCCCTCCCTCTCTCTCTATAGATATCAGACGAGCATCTTCCGACACTGGCTGCAAAAAAAAAAGGATCCTTCTGTTATAGATAAATATATATATATATTTACATAAAGCAGGAGACACGCTGCGAGATTCCGCTGTCCCAGCTCAACTCCTCGCTCGACTCTTTCGCGAGCAGCAAAACCTTGCGGGAGCGGGAGCAGGAAAAAGCAGCTGCCACTTTTGCGGACAACGAGGCGGAATTCGCGCGGCGCCCCAGGAAATCTTCTTGGGTTTCTTCTTCTCTTCTCTCCCTCTCTCCTCCCCCTCTTTTCCTTTCCGTTGCTTGCAGAAACATCCACGGTCGGGGATTTTTTTTAAAAAAAAAGAAAGAAGAAGAAGAAAGCCCCGACACACAGGCACAGCGTGTGCGCGCGTGTGTGTGTGTGTGTAACGCAGACACCGTGTGTGTGTGTGTCTGTCTGTAATGCACGAAGTTTTAAGGGATATAATAATTAATACAATGGGAAACAATGTAGCAGTTTCTCTCTCTCTCTCTCCCCCCACACACACACACACTGGTTACATTAACACGCGGTTTCTCCCTCTCTGTCCCCCCGCCCCCCCCTCTCCCTCAGACTGATAACTAACCAAATTTAGACACGCGCAGTCCGGGCTCTCTCCCCCTCTCCCGCTCTCGGCCAATCACGGCCCGGGCCGCACGTGGGGCCGTGACGTCGGCCCCGCGCAGCCCGGCCAATCAGGGAGCCCGGCGGCGGCGGCGGCGGCGGCGGCCAGGGCCGGGCAAGGGGGCGGGGGCTGGCGGCCTGTCAATCTCCCAAATGGGACTGTGACGTCGCCGCGCAACCGGGGAGAGAGGCTCCGCGCTCGGTCGGGCTGTCTGTCTGGATCCAGGCGGGGGGGGGGGGGCGGGGGGGGGGCGGAGACGTCAGCCAGCGGGCGCCCGGCGTTGATGGACGGGACAGCGGGCCAATGGGGGAGGGGGAGGGGAGCGGCCGCGGTGGGCTGGGCGTGTCGGCGCCTGTCTGCCCCGCCCCTCCCGGGTCGGCGGAATGAAGAGGCTGAGACGTCACTTAGACACGGAGTGACAATGGCGCGCGCTCTCGGCCCTGTCAATCAAAGTAACGTGGGGCTGTGGAGCAAACACACACACACACAGTCACACAGCAACACGCCGTCCCACCCACCACTCAAACACAAGCCAGACGAGGAATGTTAACTAATTACGATGACCGTGTGGAAATGCACCATCTCACGAGGAGTTTTTTTTTGTGTGTTATTTTCGCACTCGCTGGAGGAGTCCCTTCCCCCCCCCCCCCCCTGTTGGCCCGTTACTTCGCACCATGATTTATGACTGTGGAAACGTATATGTATTTTCCCGGCTTTGAGGAGACGATATATGATTTATTAAAAAAAATGATATACGTACATACATATATATATATATATATAAGCATTATTGCAATCAATGCGTTCTCCTCAGATGGGGTGTTGATGTAGGGAGTGTGTGTGTGTGTGTGGAGGGTGGGGTGTGTTGGGGGGGGGTATAGGCGATGAATATATTTTAAAAACTATTTAAAAAAATAAAACCCCCCAAAAAAGGAACTTTGTCGTGTACTGCCCTCCCGACCCCGATGCAAAAAGCAGATGCGGAACCGAACCGCTAAGTACCTTCTCAGTGCAAAAGAGGTCTTAACGCGCCCCGAACCCGCGCGAACACAGCGACGTGTCTTTGTTGAAGGCGCACATCAAAGCCGCGCGCGTCTGGTTTCATTTCGCCGCATTACTAGAAAATTGCATCCAGATGCTTCGCAGGTATTATGTCGGGGGGTTCTCTCTCCGCGTTCATTAAATCTGTTTGTACTGTTTATTTACAGCTGGTGCCGGATCATTAGCTCAGGCAAAGAAACCTTCACGTGAGGTATAGCTAATTAATAATCTTTTAAGGCGAAACCCACGTTCAAAATGGATTTTCTTCTCCTCCATAGGATATACTCCGCATTGGGAGTCAGCGATTTGTCTTCACTTTTTTCGCTCTTTGGAACTCCCCCCTCCCGGGGGGTGATGTTCTCCAGAGGCTCGACAGCGCTTCGTTGCACACAGGAACCTACCAAATGAGCTGAAATTCTGAGACTTGTACAGATAGGCTCTGGACCACACAAAGGACCTTCACTGCCTTTATTTATTATTAATAATAATCCGTGCATTTGATACAGCATCTGATCACATCGTTGTGATGTCTCAAAGCCCTTCACGGAATATATTATAAAGTGAATTGACTGTATTTTGTTTAATATGATTTATTTTAATATGATTCAACTGGTTTCATTTTATAAATTTTAACGCTATGCGTTTTTAGCCTCTTCCACACAGTTGATCTCCATTAATACAAGCACCTTCTCCGCTCAAACCATCGACTCATCGTTAACTGTCACTTGAAAAGGTTAAACGTTTTATACTTCATGCTCAATAAAAAAAAGAGGTCTGGTGTAATTGTGAAGGATGATTCCCTCACCACCTCCGACCCCCACGCCCCCAAAAAAAAATTGGGAAGGGGGTATGTTACTATTATTTACATTATGAAGCCTTATAGGGCAATGAAATATTGAAAAAGTATAAGTTGTGAACAGTGATAAAGTTGAAGCTCTTTACACAGGAATAAACAATGCCTGGAAATGTTGGTACAAGACAATAACATGCTCAAGGGTTTTGGATAATGTCATAAACTGTGAGAATTGATCTTGGCTTGTTCATAATCATTCAGTTGTGGTGAATGGTATACTGTCATGAGCACACTTGCCAAGTGTTTATTTTTAATGATCCACTTTAGCTCTGTTAACCTTTTTTTTAAGATTTTTATTATCAGACTTGGTTAACTACTACTTGCATCATCATTGAATTTTCCAATGTGACACTGAACCAGGATTATAATGGGATTGGCTAATAGGAAGAGAGGGTTTTTACTGAGAAATAATACTCTGATTGGCAGGGTTAGAACTCAGTTATTTCAGAGCGTTCCTTCTAAGACGCTTTTGTCTGTTCTCCTGGCAAAAGCTGCATTATACTCAGTAAATGAGATCAAACCTAGATAACATGAACTCCTGATAAGAGAAGCTGTACTGTCAGTCCCAATAACAGGGTTTGACTATAAAATAGGTTAATCGATTTCATCGAGTAAAAATGCCAGATGCCTCATTAACAGTTGGATGTTATGCCAAGGTCATATGTGATCTATAGCCATAAACACGTATATTGCAAAACCAGCCACTTCCTTTTAAATGAGTCACACAATAGACTTTCAGCATCCTTGTAAATAAAGGATTATGCACTGATGCAATGGAGTTAAAATGTTTGACCCTGCACATTTCTTTTTAAAAAAAAGTTTCAAAATTAAAATCTAAATTGAACATAAAGATAACATTGGGTGACTCCAACAGATATAATTATATCTCGTCCTTCGGATGAGACATTAAACCGATGTCTTGCCTGGTTGTTCAGATGGACGTTAAAGATCCCGTGGCACTATTCAAAAAGAGAAGGGAGTTTCTTCCAGTGTCCTCGCCAACAATCCCTCAAATAAAATTGGTCGCTCCATAGCTGTTTGTGGGACATTACTGTACACAAATTGGCAGCTGTGTTCGCCCACAAATAATGCAGTCATTACATTTCACAGTATATCCTGTGAAGCGCTTTGAGACATCTCAACTTCGTGATAAGGTGCTATATCAAGTACAAGCATTATTATAATATTTATTATACTCCAGTGGACCTTCCTCTGCAATTAATATTGCCGTATTTCAGAGAATGACAAATCCTTTGTCATTCCAAATAAATTGTCTATACAAAGGCTCCGCAATCATTCTTTAGACACATTCCTCAACTTCCAACTATTTTTGTCATTGAAGGGAGTGGTGTCTACTGAATGAAGGGAGGAAAGTACGGTATGTGACATGATAATTTTCACATTGCATACCACATTTTTTAGTTCAAAATGTCTTGCATAACAATTGGAAAACACTATGCATGTAATGATTTTATCAAGTATGTGATGCTATCTGTATTTTGAGAGTTTTAGCTATCAGTGTAAAGGTTCTTGGAAGAACTATATACAGGGCATTGCAACAAACTGAAGTACAAATGTTCCCCCTGGGGACTGAGCCTAACTAGAAAACTTCACACGAAGATAACACCACCTGTTAAATAGGATAAGCAGCCACTATTAATGGAACAAGTGTCAAGTCAACTAGCAATGAAAACAAGAGGGGTTTTTTTTGCCACCAGAATCTGGTTATGCAGTTTGTTTGAGAATAATAGTGAATTTACAAATAATTTTCAGGTTGAAAGGAAGCAAGGAGAAGATTGGAAAATGTCTTCCTGGCACAACAAGTATATTATGAATAATTTCTCCTGATAGTACTTTTGAGTACAAATGTTGAATTAGAAAGATAAAACAGCCTAAAATCACATCCTGATCTCTATCCAGTAACCCAGCAGGAATGCGTTCAAGTGTGGAGAACAGGATGATGAGGTTTGGCTGTTTTGGGTCACATAGTTTGCTGCCACTCATTGTGGTCTATCTCACACTGACCCCTTTTCCCCTTACAAAAATGTAGTAGAATAATCATAATTTGTATAAAATAAATCCCACTGTTAGCAATCAGTATAAAATAAATCCAACTGTTAGCTCACATGTGAAGGAATACCACTTGGGTGAATTACTGGAGAATCCTGGATGGATCAGGGAACAGACAGACAAAAAGCAATTCATACCATCCACACATATGTATTGGAGGAGCTATTAATGCTTCTGGATGCAGTGCTGGGACCTTATTTATATTGCATCTGAGAATATATTTAAAATGTGATAAACGTGCAAACTCATAATAGACACATTCCTTCACTGGAATTTGCCATTCACATGACTTTGTTCTGCCCATTTATCCAGCTTGCGCACATTATAAACACTTCAATTGCGTAATTAAGTAAGTCTCTGTATCAAACCTCAATGACACTGTGTGCAATGCAGTGTAAATTTACATGTTTACTGTGTAAACAGAGAAGGCATTCAAGGTGAAATCTGGTCATTTCTAATGCAGATGTTCAGTTGTTTAACTGAATTACAATTATAAGAGAAAGAAACTGCTGGAGAGTCTGCTGATCTCTGCATTTTTTCGCTGTCACAGGTGTAAGGATATGAATATTGAGTTCTACAGCACAATAACATATCTGAGAAGCTGGAGGCAACTTTTATAATTCTCAGTGAACATGATTGTCCTCTGGAGTCACCTTTAAATCTAGGACTGGTTTAAAATCAGTAGCGGCTATTCTGTTCTGCACAGAATTAACTTCCAAAATATAACGTTCTCTATAACTAGAATCAGTTTGTGCTTAGCACA